TGAAATAACTCCCTGTTCTTCCCCAGGGACTATCAGTTAAAACCAATAATATTTTTCATTAGAAGGCTGATGAACTCTGGTTGCCCAGTTCAAAACTGCCAACTAGAAATTGTGTCCTTAGACAATGCAATCACTCTTAACAATGTATTTTTAATAAATACCGAACTCCTGGTAATAGCTAGCTTAAGATCTCCCTAAACACCGAGCAATGTTAAATTTCTGATCTTTTTCTTTAAAAAAAGTTTATCTTGATTTTTTTTTCTTAGAGAGAGAGGAAGAGAGAGGAGAGAGAAAGAAACATGGATGTGAGAGCAAAACATTGATCTGCTGCCTCCTATATGTGCCCTGACCAGGAATCGAACCAGCAACCTTTCAGCATGGGACAATGGCCAAGCAACAGAGCCATACCAGCCTGAGCAAGTTTCTGATCTTTTTCTAAAATGCTTTTCAAGCAGGGAACATAATGTGGCTACTGCATTACTAGTACATGAATATGAACCTACATAAATCTCCTCTATTACTTTTTTGTGGGAAGCTATTCCCTAGAGTTCATATTTCGAATAGATTCATAGCCACAATAAAATAAGATATATTCCTGTACCAATGGAGGGAGAATTATTGAACACAAATGGGGACTAGCCTTTTAGTTTGTGTATAATAATAACAAATATGAATTATAAGCCAAGACATTTTTAAAAATTATTTTTCCCGTTTTGCATATGTGAAGCTATAGTGGCATTATGAAGGACTACTATTTAACTGTTTCTCATGGGACTTCCTCCAGCTATGCATGTGAATCAGATCTAAAAATTCTTCCAGTTATTATCATAAAATTTGATCAAGACATTTTCTATATAATTTTTATATTCATGAGATCTTAGATTTGTTATTTTAGAAATAATTTTGAAGAAACATATCAGACCTGAACCACATGTGAGCCACTTATTCACCATGTAACCAAGAGTCTCGGCCACACTGACAGGTACCAGGGACCCAAAGGGGAAAACCCCAGCATTTCCCCACAGAGCAGGGAAGAAAGACAAGTAAACCAATGGTTACACTATTTTTCATTCACTTGTAAATGGTACAAGTAAGAGCACTATAGGAGCACTGAGTGGTATATTTAATGTCTAGAAGTAGATAGAAAAGAGTTCTTAGGGAAAGTGATATTATCAATGCAGTCTTGAACTTGAGTGAGAGTCAGCAGATGAGAGGAGGTGAGGACAACAGAAGTGCAAAAGTTAGAATGATTCACAAGATAGGTTGCTGCTCTAGGACCAGCAATTATCTCTGAAGCATAGGACTATGGTGATGAAGAAGGCAATGATCATAAGGTCTGTAAAGCAACGCATATGGGATTTACATTTTAGAAAGTTCATTCTAAGTAGTCTCTTGGAAAAGGCATTATGGGAAGGGCAGCCACACTGGAAATAAGGAGATGAATTATGGAGCATGTTTTAGGAGTGCCACTGAGAGGTAACTAGCAGAGAAGATGGATAGATGGTGTGAGAGTTGAAGATGTGGGAATTAGAGAGAAGGTAGATTTCAAAGAAGGCACTGGGTGTATAAAAGTGGATAGGACGGAGAGGACTCTAGGGTCCAGGGTCGTGGTGAATGAGTGGACATGTGAATAAAAAAGGCTCACTGGGTGATGAGGAGAACAGACTTAAAGAACCTATTAATAGTAGTCCATGTATGAGATATCCAAGAAAAATGTCAATTAAAACATTTAGTGATGAGTCTTCAGTTTTTAGAAGAAACCCTGTTAAAGATGCAGACCTGAGACTCACTAGCTCATCAGCCACAGATGAAACGGGGGGTGTGGTGGGCTCTCCCAGAGAAAGGCCAAATCCCTGTGGAGCAACAGCATTCAAGCCAAAGAGGGAGCCAGTTGTTTAGGGGAACCACAACACTTAAAACTCAGACACTCACAGTTCATATGCTATGTGATTGAAGGATACTTTCTTAAGATAAAGAATACCCTCTTCTGGCTAAGAACTCCCATCTCCTCAACACACAGAGGTTTTTCTAACTAAAATCCCCAAGACAGTTTAAACCAGTTTTCTTTCATCCAAAGAAGACAGGCAAATGAAACAGAAGAAACATAGTTTTAGGGGTTTTTCCCTAAAGAAAGAAAAGAAGAAAGACAGAAAGGAAGAAACAAAAAAAATGAAGGAATGAAATAAAGATATATGTTTCCATGATCTCTCTCTGACTTGGCTGCAATAGTAAGCTTTATACAACCGTAGCTGAAAGAGAGAAAACATTTCAAAAGGTCTTAACAGTCAGGCTGCCCTTAAACTGAAAACTCCACTTACAAATCCAGTAGAAGTTAGATTTCAAAACAACGATTTCTAAAGAAATAGACAAAAAGCAATCTAATCTCAGAGGGTGAATAAGACCAGTGGGTAAGAGAAATTGAGGTCTAGTGAAAAAGTATTATATGGTAACTGAGTGGTTTGTTTTCCTTTGAAACACGCTGCCTATATTGATTTTCTAAAAATATAGTGTTGAATGATTTTCATCATAAGTAGTAATAAAGAGCTTTCTTATTTTTGAACTAGAGGTACAGTGCACTAATTCTTGCACGGGTGGGATCCCCAGGGGGGTGGGGAAGGCTGGGATGTGACTGGTCCTCTGGTAGGGATGTCCTTGCCAGCCTGGGATCTGGATTCATCCTACTGACATTCACTCCAGTTGTCAAGAGCCACCTGGCGGCTGCTCTTATATCCTTTCTTCCTTGCAGAGGTTCTAGGGAGGGGAAGTGGTCGCAGTGCCCAAGGCTGACTTCCAGGAGGCCAGTGGTGCTGTTGGGATTGTGCCAGCAGCACTGGTTCATCAGTGCCTGGCCCTTTCTCTGAAGATAGGACCTGCAGAACTACTGAGGGAGGGATTGGCTGCCACCCGAGCTGGTGGGTCACTGGGCGGCACTCCCACTGTGGGAGTGCACTAACCATCAGGGGGAGCTCCTGTGTTGAGCATCTGCCCCCGGTGGTCAGTGCATGTCATAGCGATCGGAAGGTCCAGTCATTCTGGTGATTCTGGTCATTCTGGTCATTCGGTTGTAATCGTCGCTTAGGCTTTTATTTATATAGATATTTATTTGTGTTCTCTTCAAAAATCAAAAGCATACTATTCTTGCCATTTTGCATGGATCTTTCATATAACCCAAGGCTGCCTTAATGGAGCCACCACTGCCCCCTGGTGGAAAGTAACTATTTTTGAGTTAAGATGGCTTGTTGAACACATACCTACTTGTGCAGCTAAATCTATGAAGTCACATAATCTGTCATGTGTCATGAGTAAAAAAAAACACACCCCAAAATACTATTTATATTTGTTTTTATATGTGAAGAAAGCCTAAGTGGATTCTTAAGAATACAATTACTAAATGAATACAAGTTCTTTCTCAAAGGCAAGAGGTGTTTAAAACTAAATACCTGAAAACAATTTATGTCTGATAAGATTATTAAATAGAAAAGTCCCAGACATGAGAATTGGAGTTCCTTGCCCATACTGAGAATATTTAGCTGTATTATGGGTTCTTAACAAGCTATTTACAAGTGACCCCAAAAAGCCTGAGCTACTCACCGAGATAGCTTTTTACTACCAGTTCAGAGAACTCAACCAAACCAGTGGTTCTCTAAGGTTTCTAGAGAGAATGTGGCCAACCATATATTGTTGCTGAGATCTTACTTTTTAACATATAAACTCAGCAATTGTACAGCCAACCTACTAGAAGGTAAAGATATCAGGAATAAGCTAGGAGCTTCACTGGCTACAAAATGTAAACGAAACAAGATATATAGCTAACTGAGCCCCCTAGATAATGATCTAAGAAAAGTTCTGAGGAAATCCAGAGTGATTTGGGGAAGGAGGAAGCAGAGCAGAGAGAGGATATCTCACCCTATGTTCAGACTTCGAAGCAGATACCCAAAAAGAAAACACTTAAAGAGTCCTGCCTATGCTGCTCCTCAATGTACACTGTCCCAGAGAGGTGGTCAAGTTTCAGCAGTGATCTACGGCACCCATGTCACTGGCTTATTTTAGGCACTTCTGCAGATTGTCATATGGATTCAATAAATACATGGCAAAGCATGTGCTTGCTTCACAGGCACTGGAGGCAGCCAGCCATTCAGTACAAATAGTTAACCATGCATCACAGGCCACAAATAGGAAGAGCACCTTGGAGGGTCCCTCACTGTGACAGAAGAATGATCCAGAGGTGAGCCCTGAAATGGCCTTACCTTGAGTCAGATTGGTCATGATATATAGAAGATAGTACTCAAAATATGCTTCAAATCCCCATCTTTTTCTATCTCCTTCACCAATCCCAGATACACATTTCAATAAAAATTAGATTAAGGGATGCTAAAAAAAAAAAAAATGAATATCTAGTCATTATCACCTTATCTAAAATCAGTTTATCCAAACACCAAGGAAAGGATCAGGGACAGGATACACGTTTGTTTAAGCAATGCATCCTGGGTTAAATCTAAACAATAGGATGCCACCCAGAATGGCAAACCGAGCTGAAGCAACCGAGTACACAGGACCCCAAAAAGGCAGGAGACGGGTGAGCCAAAATCCAGCTCTGCCACCCTCCTGTTGTTGGCCACCAACACTTTCCAAGTGACCTGGGTAAAGAGGAGGCAGACAGCCTAACTTCCTAAAATGAAATACAAAAGAACGCATTTATTTGGATGCATTTTATGGCCCCTGATTCTTAATGAGTTTCTGATGGTCCTAGGAAATGTATACTCAGGCGGTCAGTGAAGAAGCATCATCAATCTAGCATGTAATACTGTAGTGAATTCTAAAAGAAGAAAGTGGTCGTAGTGTAATAAACCCGAAGGAAAAACGTGAGAGAGACTAAGGAACTGCTTAGTTTCCTGGACTTTTGCTCCTTTCTCAACACAGTGAGGCCCCAACCATGCACATGCTCTGCGTCCTCCTCTCCACGCTCTGTGTTCATGAAGGTAGGCAAGGGGCGGACTCACTCATTGAGCAAAGGCATGGACGTTCTCCTCTTGCTCTTCTGCACCATGTTGGCCTGATTCCTCAAGGAGATCCGGATCATCGCGGGGGCCAGCCTGCAGGGCTCCCCATCCACTTGCATGGGGATGGATTTATAAGTCAACAGCATGACCTCCCGGCATTGGTGCAGCCTTTCCCCGTGGCCCCCGACTTGCAGGGCAGCCTGCAAAAACAAGAGTCAAAAGGAAGCTAGGAGTTCGTTCTTAAAGTTACTCAGCAAAGCTAGGAATCCCACGTCCACTAAATAGAAGCAAAGGACCTTTGATAAACATATGGAAGGTTTTAGCCAGCAGTAAAACAGGAAGCCCTGGATAAATCATCAATACAAGTAAACTAAAATTTCTAAACTTTTAATGAGCTTCACCATAAATTCTCTTGAATAGCCACTTTTCACTTTTATGTATTTTCCAGCCTTAATGTAATCATGATAGTTTAATACAAAAGTTGGCTTTTTCATGATTTATGTGTATTAAGTATGCAATGTAAGTAGAACAAAAAGAACATAAAAGAGATTAAGCAGATAATTTAAGAGAGCTTCTAATCTACAGTTGACCCTTGAGCAGAATGGATTTGAACTGTGTGAGTCCACTTAGATGCACATTTTAAAATAAATATATTGAAAAAATTTGTGAAAGATTTTCTTACTGCTGTGAAGAAAATGTATCAGTTATGCCAGGCTACCATAAAACAATGAAATTGCTGTTTTTCTTTGTTATCAATGTATGTATCATTATACGAATTTATTTTTTCAATTATCTTTCCATTTCTGATGCCTAGTGTTAGTAATACATATAACATCCACAGTGTTTTGTATCATATCAAACAATATTGATGTAGGTAATGACAGATGAGTCATCTTGTAAACAGAAGATGTACACTTAAAGTATTGATAAATAATACAGTACTGTAAATGTACTTTCTCTTCCTTATGATTTTAATAACATTTTCTTTTCTAGAGCTTACTTTAAGAATACATTATATAATACATATAAAATACAAAATACATGTGCTAATTGACTGTTAATGTTATCAGTAAGGCTTCCAGTCAACAATAGGCAATTAATAATTAAGTTTTGGGGGAGCCAAAAGCTATATATGGATATTTGACCATGTGGGGATCAACACCCTTAACCCTTGGGTTCTTAAAAGTCCAAGTGTATATTTAAATGTAAATATATATTATACTACATATGTACTATAGATTAAATATACTCATATTTAAATAGACAATTCTTGGTTAATTTTCTTCTTTTTTTTAAAAAATGTATTTTTATTTATTTCACAAGGAAGGAATATATAAAAACATCACTAATGAGAGAGAATCATTGATCAGCTGCCTCCTACACACCCCCTACTGTAGATCGAGCCTGCAACCCATACATGTGTCCTTGACCGGAATCGAACCTAGGACCCTTCAGTCCGCAGGCCGATGCTCTATCCACTGAGCCAAACCAGCTAGGGCCTTTGGTTAATTTTCAAACTTAGGCATGCTTTTCCTTTTTATCTAAAATTGCCTCACAAGCTTTTAATCTGTGCCTAATATGAAATGCAAAATAATATTAATTCAAAAACTTCCTGAAAATAAAGCAGTTTTGAAGATCAAAATCAGACACAGTAAGAGCTCAGTTCACAACGGTGGCGAAAGAACGGAAAACTAGTCCACATGAAAAGTCTGTTGTTAAGAGCAACACATTAACATGACGACCTGGTCTTAGTGATTTATACAGGTGCCGCCCCAAACGTAAACACGCTTTGAATAATTATTAATTCCAATGGGTTAAATGTGAAAAAAATGAGAAACATTAATTGAGCTATTAGCTGTTTAGTGGGTATACATTTTGGGGGGGTTCCTTGTATGTATAGAGCACCATTTACCTTTTACAGATAAATAAAACTCATGCAATGTACGTTTGGTTTTAACTGATATCAAGTACCCAAATAATATTATACAGCTTGATGAATATGTTTTTATACATATGGAGATCTCCATCCAGATCAAGCTGTGGACAATTCACAGCAACTAAGAGGTTTTCATATGCCCCTTCCAATCTACTTACACTCCTCTCACCAACCAGTCGGTAACCACTATTCTGACTTCTATCGCCATAGATTCAATTTACTTGAATTTGAACTTCATATAAAATAAATCATACAATATATACTCTTATGGCATCATTTGCTCATCATTATTTTTGAACAATTTTTGAATAATATATGGATTTATCTGATCTGCTGGTAAACATTTGTTTATTGATTTAAATTTGATGGTATATATCTCTTGGTGGACACATATTCTTTTGAGTACATACAATGAGTAGACCTGCTATGCTGTGAGTTTAGATATACACTTGACGTTAGTAGATACTGCTAAATAGTTTTCCAATAAGGTTATATTACAATGCATTTCTAGTATCAATTTACAATTAAGAAAACTTTTATTTATCTTTTATTTTTAAAAATATATTTTATTGATTTTTTACAGAGAGGAAGAGAAAGGGATAGTTAGAAACATCAATGAGAGAGAATCATTGATCAGCTGCCTCTTGCACACCCCCTACTGGGGATGTGCCAGCAATCAAGGTACATGCCCTTGACTAGAATAGAAGAACCTGGGACCTTTCAGTCCTCAGGCCAACACTCTATTCACTGAGCCAAACTGGTTTCGGCAAGAAAACTTTTAAAAGGAGTCAGATACTAACTCTAACCCAAATCTATAAGATTTACTTAAAAACAAAAAATAAAAACATACATACTCTCCGCTTGTTTCCATGTCTCATCACTATGAATGGGGAAGAAATCTTGTTAATTGATTTATGAAGTCAACTTCCACTTGCTTGCCAGATATTTGTATTTATCTGATATTTTGAATTATTTTTGTACTTGCATTAATTTTAACAGTAGATGCCTGCTTATCTATCAATACAAAGAGAAACAGAACACAAGGGAACAAATGGAGTAAAGAAAATAGAATAATAATGGAAAAGTAAAGAAGTTACTGAACACTTTTGATGTTAAAGCACTCAATTGTGTCTTTTACATACAATTTTATTCAAATAATGAGAGAATGAGAAAGTAGAGGAGAATACAGTGAGAATTTAGGCACTAAAATTCCTTTTGGCCTATTTCCTGACCCTCCGTTATTCAACTGAAAGTTCTTTCTGGCTGTACTTAAACAACCCATTTAAGTTAATCTGTGAATCTGAGCCACTATCTCATCTCCAGAACTTCTCCAATATATTTCCCTTGCCTTCTATTTTTCAGCCCAATATTTATCTGAAAAAACTGTATATTTTTATTCACTAAAGAAAATCCTATTTACTTCTTGACTAGACCTGATGACAAATAAAAGGGCAGAGCCTACTAGGTAAGAACATACTCCTCTGAGTTTAATAGGGTTGAAAATTGCTTAACTAGTTTCCAACCTCTTTTTAATATATATATATATATATATATATATTATTTATTTTTTACAGAGAGGAAGGAAGAGTATACAGAGAGGAAGGAAGAGAGTTAAAAACATCAATGAGAGAGAAACATCGGCAGTTTACAACCTCTTGGAATTGAAAGATATACACAGTACTGCAGAGCATGTTGAAGCCATATTCTCAGCCTCACAGCAGAACAACAGCAAACTTCACAAACAACAGAAGTAAATAGTTGTCAAGGGAAGTCCCATTGGCATTTCAAAATCAATCCTAGATCACTGTACAGGCGCAAAAAGAATGACCAGAATTAGCTTTTCAGCATAGATAGTTCTATTACCATGTATATCGGTTAATAATGCGGATTTTGTAATTTAAAAAAAAAGATAATTCCAAGAGAAACATCAAAAGTGATTTTTTCAAAGTATTGTCCATCACTAGCTACACATTTCCCCCATCTTTCAGGTAATTGGTGGATACCGTCCCAATAGAACTTTTCTTGTCTTGATGCAAACCATTCAGAGACCCAATTTTCCATTTCTTCGTACATTTTGAAGTGCTGCTCAGAAAGTGTGCATGCTATTGATCAGAACAAGTGGTAATCTGAAGGAGCAAGGTCTGGTGAATACGGCAGGTGGGTTAATACTTCCCAGGCAAGATCTTTTAACTGGTTTTGAAATATGTGATGGTGCGTTATCATGAAATAAAATTACTTTACCATGTCTTCTGGCCATTCCAGTCATTTTATGATCAAAGTGTGGTTCAAATTATTATTTGCTATCAGTAGCAATAAACATTAATGGTTTCACCTGGTTTTAGAAGTTCATAATACACCACACCTTCCTGATCCCACCAAACACAGAGCATTGTCATCTTTCCGAAGAGATGTGGCCTCGCAAGTCAATGTTGATGGCTGACCTGGCTCAACCCATGATTTGTATGCTTGGGATTTTCAAAATAAATCCACTTTTCATCGCTAGTCACAATTCGATGCACAAAAGACTTTCTTTCATGCCATTGAAGCAACATTTTACTGATGAATTTTCGCTTTTCCATTTGTCTTTCATTCAGGTGATGTGGCACCCATTCTCCTTCCTTTAAAAACGTTCCCATTGCTTGTAAACAATAGAAAATTGTTTGCTGAGCAACATTTAATCTTCCTGCAAGTTGCTTTTGAGTTTGATACGCATCTTCATCCAATAATGCTTATAATTGTTGGTCTTCAAACTTTTCCTGTTGGCCTGGACGGTCTTTGTCTTCCACATTGAATTCTTCATCACCTTTAAAGCATTTAAACCAGTGTTTACAAGTATCTTGAGATGGAGCATGTTCACCATAAGCTTTCTGGAGTATATGATAACTTTCAGCAGCACTTTTCTTCAAAATAATGAATTAAAATTTCCCGCAAATGCTCTTTTTTTGGCACAAAATTCAACATTTTTAAGCATTAAAATATCTGTGATGTTAACACCTTCAGAAAATTTGACATATGAAGTTTTGAAGCTTGCTGTCAATACAACAAAATAGCATACATATCAAATCACATATATATCAACATATGTGTAACTCTAGTGAAAAAAATCCGCATTATTAACTGGTACACCTGGTACTGTTAGTACAGCCACATTAAATTACTTCTGGAACAAGTTAAAGGTAGCTTTTTAAATACTTGTAAGAAATAGTTATTTTTCATCACTCAGATTTGTCTAGTTTTAACATCCTTTTAAGGCATAGGCCTTAA